ATAGAATGAGTAAGAATGTCACTGCCAATGTGTATGTAAAATAGTAGAGAAGCTTTACTTTTTTCCCAATGGAAACATTATGAAAAATAAGTTCTAATGTTTTCTTCCCGTACACCAATAGATAGGTTGAGTGCCAACATTTTGGAGACCACCAGTATAAGGGGTATATTGGAGAAGTAACTGTAGGAAAAAAGCCTAAGAATAATCCAAGTGTGTGATGATTAGAGAAATAGAGAGAAGGACATGATATGAAAGAGAAAGCATGGGTAGATAGAGGATAGATGGACAGATAGCTATATGAAAAAGCAAACATAGCAAAATGTTCATTGTACATCTCAATGGTGGGCATATATGTATTCACTGTAAAATTCTATCAATTTGCCTATATGTTGGAAATTTTTCATAGTAATATATTGGCAAGGTACAGAACAAAGAAAGAGCAACAGGGACTGCAAACCATATAGGGACTAGAGCAAGAGGAGAGGAAGAGGCAAATACGATTGCAAGGATTTGTCCCAGCTGATTACGAGGATGGCATCAATGACAGAAAGAGGGTGGGTAACTTTAGGAGAAAAATGCTAAGTTTAGTTTTAAATATGCTTATTTGAAGTGTTACTAGGACAATCAAAAAGAAATCCAGTAGGAAATATAGAAATAGAATTCAGACCAGAGGACAATACTAGATATTTAGATAACAGACCCAGTTACAGTAAACTGATAGTAAAAGCTATGAAAATAAAGAAACTCTACAAGGGAAAACAGCAAATGGCAGAGAACTGAATTGAAACAATTAGTGGACAGGATAAAGAATGGATACCAGCAGAAGAGACATGCCTGGGAAAACTAATACCACATTCACAATTTAAAAAGTCAAATCCTATATTCTAGTTTACCTTTACAGTGGCTAATTTCACGATAAAGAACTTACTGTTGAAAGCCTTACAGACAAGGGAAGTATATTATAAAAGTGATTTTAAAAATTAATTTCTTGAGGTATAATTTACAGACCATAAAATACACAGATCTTAAGTGCTCCTTCAAAAAAAAATCAACGTTAAGTGCTTGTTCAATTATAAAACATGAGTTTTGGCAATCGTATGTGTTGCATAACTGCTGGCCCAAAGAGGAGACTATAACCACCATCATTCCAGAGAATTATTTCAATTCACCCGACTTCCCTCCTCAGCCCTCATTTTTTACTTCTGTCAAATTAGATGAGTTTGTCTGTTCTCAAACTTTACATAATGATTTAATTGAGTGCCTATTCTTTTGTGTCTTCTTTTTTTTTTTAATGATTTAAAAAAAAATTTTATTGGGGAACAGTGTGTTTTTCCAGGACCCATCGGCTCCAAGTCAAGTAGTTGTTTCAAGCTAGTTGTGGAGGGCGTTTTTCCAGGACCCATCGGCTCCAAGTCAAGTAGATGTTTCATTCTAGTTGTGGGGAGTGTTCCAGGAACCATCAGCTCCAAGTTAAGTAGTTGTTTCAATCTAGCTGTGGAGGCCACAATTCAGTGGCCCATGTGGGGATAGAACCAGCAACCTTGGCGTTATGAGCACTGTGCTCTAACCAACTGAGCTAACTGTGTCTGACTTCTTTTATTCATGTTTTGGAGATTCATCCATATTATTGAATGTTATCAACAGTTCTTTTTTTTTATTGAGAAGTACTATTTCACTGCATGAATACACCACCAACTGCTTATCCATTCTCCTGTGGATGAACATCTGGTCTATTTCTAGGTTTGAACTATTACGAACAAGGTTGTCATGGTCATTCAGGGTAAGTCTTTTTGGGGACATATGTTTTCATTTCTCTTGAGACTAGATCTCATAGGAAACTGCCAAAAGTTCTCAAAAGTGTTCACATAATTTTACATCCCCACCAACGAGTAGAATTTCCAGCTGCTCGCCAATCTCACCAGTCTTTGGTCTTGTTAGTGTATTTGACTTAAGCCATTCTAAGGACTGTGCATGGCATCTCACTGTACTGATGACTAATGATAAGCACCTTCTCATGCTCTTATTGGCTATTCTTTTATCTTCTCTTGTGAACTGTCTCTTCAAGTTCTTTGGCCATTTAAGAAAACAACGTTCTTGAGGTATAATTTACATATCATAAAATTTGTTTAAGTGTATAATTCAAAATTTTTAATTTACTGAGTTGTGCAACCATCACCCAATCCAGTTTTAAAACATTTCCACCACCCCAATAAGATTCCTCGTGCTCTTTACTATTAATCTCTATTCCCATCCTTAGTACCAAGTAACCACTAACCTATCTTGTGTCTATAGATTTGCCTATGCTGGACATTTCATATAAATGGAATCATGCATTAGCTGGTCTTTTGTGTCTAGTTTCTTTCACTCAGTGTAACGTTTTTGAGGTTTGTTTTTGCTGTAGCAGGTATAGTATTTCACTTCTTTTTATTGACGAATAGTATTCCATTGTATGATTAAACCACATTTTATTTAGCCTCCCATTGGTTGATGGGCATTTGCATTGTTTCAACTTTTCAGCTATTATGAATAGTGCTCCTATGAATATTTACATGAGAATCTTTGTATAGACATACATTTTCATTCCTCTTGGGCAGATAGCTAGGAGTGGAATTACTAGGTGATAGAGAAAATTTATATTTAACCTTTGACCTGGAAGAGACTATCAGATTGTTTCCAAAGCAGTTGTACCGTTTTACATTCTGCCCAGCAATGTACAAGGGTTACTGTTGCTCCCCGTCTTTGCTAGTCCCACAGTCATGAAGATAGACTCTAAGTTTTCTTCTAAAAGCTTTAGAGTTCTAGTTTTTATGATTAGGTCTTTGATCCATCTGAAATTAATTTTGGGGTATGGAGTGATATATAGCTGATGTTCATTTTTGCTTATAAATATCCAGTTGTTTCAGCGCCATTTCTTAAAGAGATTTTCCTCCCCTCATTGAGTTGACTTGGAACTTTGGCTGCAAATTAAGAGATCACATATGTGTGCATCTATTTCAAGGTACTTATACTATTCCATTGATCTACTTGTTTATCCTTATGCCAAAACCACACTGTCTTGATTATTGTAGCTTTATAGTAAGTCTTCAAATATGGTAGCCTAAGTCCTTTACCTTCATCCTTTTTTAAGATGGTTTGGCTAACTAGATTCTTTGTATGTACATATTAATGTTAGAATCAGTTTATCAATTTCTTCAAAACAGAGTTTCAGGATTTTCGTTGGGATTATATTTAATCTGAATGCCAATTTAGAGAGCATAAACATCACTAGCAATGCTGTGCCATCCAATCTATAAACACAGTATTTCTCTTCAATTATTTTAGGTCTTCATTAATTTCTTTTGTGACGCTTTGTGGTTTTCGGTATATAGGACCTGCACATCTTTCAGTAGATTTGTTCTAAGGTACCAAAAAAAAATTTTTTTAAAAGACTTTGTTGGGGAATTGGGGGAGGGAAACAGTGTTGGAGAATCAGGGAGGGGGGGCACAGACACGTTGTTATCCTTTTGTTCTTCAGTCTAGTTGTGGAGGACGTTGCTTCACTGGCCCATGTTGGTATTATCATTGTGTTCTTCCCGGCTGAGGCAGTCGCTCGCCAGCCATTGGACAGCCGCTCACGGCGGCTTAGGGCAGCTTATGAAAGCTCATGCAGGCTGCCGGCCAGCCCCACTGCAGCTTCTGTCGCCAGCGACTCATGGCAGCCCAGCTCCAGGTCGAGCTGTTGCTCACCATCTTAGCTGTAGAGGACGCAGCCTCATTGGCCCTCATGTGAGATCCGAACTGGGGCCCTGCTGCTCAGAGCTGGCTGGCATCCCAAGCCAACTCTTAACCAATGCGCCACTCAGCCCACCCCTAAGGTATCAAATTTTTTAAAAATATCATTGCAAACAGGATTTTAAATAATTCCACTTTCCAATTGCTTTTACTAAAAGAATTCTTAATGTTGTAATTATGCTGAACAAAATGTGTGCAAATTCTATTTAATTTTTTTAATATATAGATTGTTCAATCTATAGTAAGACTATCTGAACCTCATTCTAAGCCACTTATTTTTTTTAACCAAGGTAAATCATTTCTGATGAGTAATACAAAAATGAATGCAAATTTTATTCCTCTGCACCCTAGATGCAAGAAGGCATAGCAGGGCAGGCCGAGTGGCTCAAGTGGTTAAGAGCTTGCTCAAGAGTGCGAGCTCTGAGCAACAGAGGTTCGAGTCCCAGCCCGAGCTGAGCTGCCGCTGAGCTGCCAACAATGGCTCAGCTGCTAAAAAAAAAAAAAAAAAAAAAAAAAGGAAGGCATAGCAAACAATTTTGGTTGGGGTAAATTCTATACTTATTTGTAATGTAAGGTTATATACCGTTAAACAGAATCTATAATATATAAGACAGATAAGCATTGTTATCTACTGATTCTTAGAGAATTTTTCTAAGTAGTAAAAATTTTTTGGAGGAGGAGGGTTTATTAAAGACTTTCTTTGAGTTTCTAATGGTGTTCTACATGGCTACGGATTAGCCATAGATACTAATACATCTATTCTCATGATATTAAATATATTGGGTTGTCGGAAAAGTCATGCCATATTTTTGCAATGAAAAACATAGAAAAAATACATCATGACTTTTCCGACAACCCAATATTTTTGAAGGCTCAACAGGTATGATGGGCTACCCGTGGTTGAGAATGTACCGAATTTAAAATATTTATTTAGAAATTTTAAAGTTTGTCTTTAAACTTTATATTTTAAAATAGGGAGGAATATATATTTGTTAATATTTTTTCAAAAGGGATTTAATTGCATAATCCTCAAAAAGAGAAATAAAATCTCTCATAAAATGAGATGCAATGAGATAACTACCAGAGGCAGTTGATTATGACATCTACCCACTGCTTACATGCTTATGCACATTATGTCATGTTGAGGATTTTGGAAACTCATTATCTAAGTGAGAAGTGCGAGAAAGGATGAAGTCAATACATATGGTATAAAAGGTTTCTAAATCTACCTCCATCTTCACAGTCTTCAGGGGCTTTGGCTTTCTTACAAAGACGAGGATCCAACCAGGTGGTGGTTTTGGTATTGTGGCTGTAGAAAAAAGATTCCAATTAGAAACAGTAAAATAAAGCGGGTGAGGCATATTTCAAAAACAAAGATTAAAAGCGACTAAAAGGTATATGATGTTTGGATATTTATCTCCTGCAGGCTCCGGCTGCTTACCTCTGATTCAATAATCCCATTGTTCTCAGTCTGTTACTTCAAAACTGCCATAAAGGAGAGGTAATGCTAGAGGCACTAATTTGAGAACGAAGACTCTAAAGAAGGGGAAGATGCCAAGTACTGAATAACACGGATTTAAGTAGTCAAAATGTTTCCAAGGGTGAGCACACAGCCCCATGCTGTGCGTTATCTGGCAAAAAGAGCTGCATTGAAAAACTTGCTGGCTGGATGGCTGAATTCCTTCCTCCTTCCCTTCAAAAAGCACTGTATTTCTTGAGTCCCTATGATGTGTGGACACTGTGCTAGGGGCTGGGAATACAGAGACGAACGAATAATCAGAGCCTCTGGACTCACAGGGGTTCTTTAAAATAAACTAATGTAGAGTTACCTAAAAAGTTACAGTGTTTCTGCAATATGCAAGTAAAAATAATGGGCATAATTAAACTCAACGCTATGAAACTAAGTTTTCATCAGTATGGACAATACAGTTAATAGAAAAAAAAAAGGCAGAACAAAAAGATACCCCACACTCCTTTTTATGAAGTAGGCCACAGACACTTTCAAAGAGCAGCTTCATTTCATTAGAGATCACAATCAGCTTCAGACCAGGTCACTATGCAGTAGATACTAATATTGAAACAAAACTGTCACATTGCTGGATAGACAGTGTTATAGTTTAAGTATCTGAAATAAGTAGGTTGTAAAGAAAGAAAAACTCATGGAAGAAAATATACAAGAAAGCAACAAAACCTAAATTGAAGTTATTATCAAAGTAGTGTGAGAATAACAATGTGAACAAACTCACTAATATTAACATGAGATTAACTTGAACATGAGATTAACTCACTAATATTAACATTGACCACTGTTAGGAAATGAAGCCAATATGGTTTCAGAGAATTAATCGTATCTTCTATACCTTTACCAATTCCTGAGCTACTTACAGAGCTAGCTATGTAGCCCCTTCTTACACATTGCCAGGCATGATGCTAGTTAGACTATGGCACAAACACTCCTTGTAGGCTGAATAATGGATAATCCAAGTAGGAGAAATTAAGATTGTTTCTAGAAAATCTGTGTTTCCCATTCTGTCAGAGATAATTCCCCCAAACTAAAACCAGTTAAATCAATTATAGCAAAAGGAAAAGAATTAGGACTCCCAAGAGGCCTAGTGATGTGCACAATTAGGAAAAAACAAAACAAAACCATGGACATACCTTATTAAACCAAATTCAGAATTGCTACTTTAGAAAAGCTTAATTAGGTTTCAATGATCTAAAATTTTTACTGCTTAATTAGCAGGTATGGGCAATCCACTAGATTTTGGCCAGTATTTCCCAAGGTAAAGAAATGTCCGTAGGGGCAATACCCAAACCATAATAGCTGAAAACTATAGAACAATATTAACATTCTTTTTCTTACAGCAGCAGTAACACAGAGTAAAGACATTAGCTAGAGCAAACAGGAGAGCTTTATCTAGAAGCAAATAATATTCAATTATATTCTGGATATTAACCCCTTATTAGGTATATGGTTTGCAAATGTTTTCTCCTGTTCCACAGGTTGCTTTTTCACTTTGTTGACTGTTTTGCTTTGCACACAGCTGTTTTTAAGTTTGACGTAGTCCCATTTCTCTATATTTGCTTTTGTTCCCTGTGCTTTTGATGTCACATCCAAGAAATCATTGCCAAATTCAATGTCAAGAAGCTTTCCCCATTTTCTTCTAGGAGTTTTAGTTTCAGATCTTACATTTAGGCCTTTAATCCACTTTAAAAATGTTCACCTATAAAGACATTTCTTGTATAAATTCCCCACCCCCATAATTTACTAACTTATCCCTGTTTACAGGGAGAAGTACTGTCATAATCTAAAGATATTCTAGCCACTTTTAGTGGCTCTCCATCTTACTTGGGGGCTTAGTTCTAAAGTAAGCACAGAAGTCAAAAGTCTAAATTACCCTTGAAAAACATCTTAAATTGTCCATCGAGAAGAGTATATCTGATTTTGTCAGATGTGTATAATCCTGGTCATTAATGTTTACAATATTAATATATTATAAACATTATAATGTTATAATGTTTATAATATAAATGTATAATATTATGAATTCACCACATATGGTTAAACAAAAAGAACACTATGCACACAAAATCTATGTCTTTTAAATACTAGAATATCACTTGGTACAACAAGATGCTCGCTCTGTGGGAAGGATGTGGAATTTGGGACCAGGTGAGGAAACACATTCACGTCTCCCGCCCCTAATTCATTTCTGAGTATATGTTCTTTTCAGTGTAGTATCCAGCCCTCGATATTTTAATTATATTCTGTAACTTCACTACGTTCATATTCTACTTCTGGGAGAATTAGTTTAAGAATGAGAATTATAGCTGCATGAGAATATAAAAATACTTCATAATGAAACTTCTAGTAAATTATTTATATATATTATTCTCAGGTGCAAGCAACATACAGTTCTCAGGTTGATGGAATATATGTGGTATTCTATATCTCTGGTAAATATATTGATATTAATAGTGTTTCTCTATAAAATATATTGGTTTTGTGAGTTTAAATTATATCAGTTACTCTAAGAATCAGTGATATTTTCCTTCTATATTATTTAACTATATTTATTGCCTGACTATATCAAACCCAAACTCTATGACTGAAAATATTTAGCTAAGAAATATGCCCCACCAAATGCTAATTCTTGAAATGCTCATTAAGTTGGACAATATGCCCAAATGTTTAAAAAAAAAAGCAAACCAAAAGTCTCTTTATTCCTTACATTTTTCATTATAAGTGATAAATCTGTTTCTGTTCTGTTTTCTTTTTTTAAGATTTTATTGGGGAATTGGGGGAGGGGAACAGCGCTGGGGAATCGGGGGAAGGGGAACAGACAAGTTGCTGTCATTTTGTTCTTCAGTCTAGTTGTGGAGGACGTCGCCCCACTGGCCCAAGTTGGTATTATCATGCGCTCTTCCCAGATGAGGCAGATCAGTCGCCAGCCACTGGATGGCTGCTCACAGTGGCTCTTGGCAGCTCACGCTAGCTGCTGGCTGCTTACGCTGGCTGCCAGCCACTCATGGTAGCTTATGGCAGACCCACTGCAGCCTACACCGTCGCCACTCTTGGCAGCTCAGCTCCAGGCCAAGATGCTGCTCACCATCCCAGCTGCAGCGGGCACAGCATCACTGGCCCTAATGTGGGATCCAAACCGGGGCCCTGCTGCCCAGAGCCTGCATCCCAAGCCAACTCCTAACCAACGTGCCACTCGGCCGGCCCTAAATCTGTTTTTAATCCTCGTTTTTATACAACCAGAGGTCAAATACACTATTCCTTTATCTAAGATAAAAAAAAATGCAATACCATCCAGGGAAAAAAATCAGATTAAGAATTGGCTATAATGTGTATGAAAAATATTTTTAAAGAAAGAAAAAAAGAAATGTAAGCCTTGAGAAACGAGATTAAAAAACAAAACAAAACAAAAAACAAAGAAAAACTGTTAAGACAGGCCTCACAGTGACGGGGCACGTTAGAAAAGCTACAGACGCTTACTCAATGAAGTAGATCATCCCGGTGTCAGTGTAGGCCATTTCCCAGTTTTTGGGCAGAGGTTCCAGATTCTCATCTCTCATCATATAATTTCTGAAGTCCATGGAGCTGTTTGTTTGGTTGTAACTCGGGATGGTCTTTATCCAATCAGATGACTCAGGATGCCTCTCTCTGTTGTCTAGTCCAAACAAAATGTATGAAAAGTAGATACACTTATATTCTCTTCGAACAGCCCTCTTCATATCTAACAAAATGCCAAATATGTACTGCAAATTTCCTCATCTCTTGTGTCTACATTCTACTATAGCTTTTGAAAAAACAAATAAACTTACTGGATTTTTTTTCCCTCTCATTTGTTAAGTGACATTAACCCTATACAGCATCTCTGATGCTGGTCTGGGAAAGAAACAAAACAACACTGGCATCAATTCAGTATATGCTGAGTATAT